CAAAGGGGTTTGGGCTCAAGAGGAACTCTGGCAAGAGGGTGGTTTTCTCACTTGCTCAAAAGGAGATAATGATCTCCTTTTACAACCGACAAGCATCAAGTGGTGTCAGAGCAGACCCAAAAGCTGTAATTGCTTGTATGAGAGAACGGGGGTTTGGAGGTCCTTAAAGAGACACAAATTCATAGCTGGTGGAGTATGTATCATCAAAAGAGGAAAAGATCTATTGGTGTCTTGCAGGAAGAAGCAGCTAAATTACAAGGCCTCCACCCATCGCAACACTTTGTTTTGCAACGGCAACCAGTTGTCATGTCGCAACAACAGCCTTTTCCTGTAACACAAGTGTCTGCTCCTGCCACCCAGTCACAACAGCAGCCTATTCCTGTCACACAAGTGTCTGCCCCTGTCACTGTGTCACAACAGCAGCCTATTCCTGTAACACAAGTGTCTGCTCCTGTCATCATGTCACAACAGCAGCCTATTCCTGTAACACAAGTNGTCTGCCCCTGTCACTGTGTCACAACAGCAGCCTATTCCTGTAACACAAGTGTCTGCTCCTGTCATCATGTCACAACAGCAGCCTATTCCTGTAACACAAGTACCCACCCCTATCACTGTCACAACAGCAGCCTATTCCTGTAACATAAGTGTCTGCTCCTGTCATCATGTTACAACGGCAGGCTGTTCCTGTAACGCAAGTGTCTTCCCCTATCACTGTGTCACAACAGCAGCCTATTCCAATAACAGAAGTGCCTGCTCCTGTCACCATGTCATAACAGCAGGCTGTTCCTGTAACACAAGTGTCTGATCCTGTCACCATGTCACAACAGCATTGTGTTCCTGTAACGGAAGCGTCTGCTCCTGTCATGGTGTCACAACAGCAGACAACTCCTGTCATCATGTCTCAATAGCAACCTGTTACTGTAACACGTGTCTACTCTTGTCACCCAGTCACAGCAGCAGCCTTTTCACCCACAAGGTTCTACTCCTGTTAACTGAGTGTTGCAGCAGTCACCAGTACTTCAACAGCAGTCAATCTATGTCCTGCCTCAGATAGGACCCTGTGAGAATGTTATGGTTGGCAAAACAATAACTGGCCTTACCGATGTTCTTCAGTGGAGTTTCCTGTCTGACTTTTGTCAGTCAGCTATC